AACATTTTTTTAAATTGAGACAGAGTCTCACTAGTTGCCCTCGATAGAGTGCTGTGGTGTCATAGCTCACAGTAACCTCAAGCTTTTGTGCTTAAGCGATTCTCTTGCCTCAGCCTCCCAAGTAGCTGGGACTACAGGTGCCCACCACAACGCCCGGCTATTAAAATTTTTTTTCTAGTGTGGCAGTCAATGTGTTAAATAAGGTCTGTTTACTGCCAAGAATTGAGAGACTGTTGCTCTTGGTCACAGAGCATCAGTAAGTAGCACTTAAATGACTGAATGGGGAAAATGAGGATCATTCCTTTCTCCTTCCTTTTTTCCTTTACTGCCTTCCTTCCTTTCCCTCCTTCCTTATCTCCTCTCCACCTGCATTATTCCCTCCCTCCTGTCCACAAATATGTATTAAATATTTATTAGGGCCCAGGCATTGTTCTAGGCTCAAAGAATACAGTAGCTCTCAAGACAGACTGAAATATCTGCTCTTGTGGGGCTGATGTTCTAGTGGGGGAAACCAGGGAACACATCAGCAAATAAAAATATGATACAGTGGCTGAAAGCAATAAATGCTAAGAAGGAAAGTGAGGACCGGGCCAAGCACGGGGGCTCAGGCTTGTAATCCCAGCACTCTGGGAGGCTAAGGTGGGTGGATTGCTTGAGCTCAGGAGTTTAAGACTAGCCTGAGCAAGAGTGAGACCCTGTCTCTACTAAAAATAGAACAACTAGCTGGGTGTGGTGGCACATGCCTGTAGTCTCAGCTTCTTGGGAGGCTGAGGCAAGAGGATCACCTGAGCCCAATAGGCTAAGGTTGCTGTGAGCTATCATGATGCCATGGCACTCTACCTAATGAGACAGAGTAAGACTCTGTTTCAAAAAGAAAAAAAAGGCTCGGCACCTGTGTCTCAAGCAGCTAAGGTGCCAGCCACATACACCTGAGCTGGTGGGTTCAAATCCAGCCTGGGCCTGCCAAACAACGACAGCTGCAACCAAAAAAAAGGAAGAAAAGGAAAGGAGAGGGCGAAAGGGACAGGGAGGGACAGAATGGGGGCAGTTCTCAGCCAAGGAGGTCAGAGAAGGTGGAAGTGCTGTGAGACCCCATGAGGAGGAGGGTATGGAGTGAGCCAGGCAGTATCTGGAGAAGGTGCCCATGGCAGGGGCACTGGCCATTGCAAAGGCCAAGTTCACCTGGGTTCTGAACACTCCCAAGACCCCCTTCTTTGCCCCTGTTTCCTCATAGTGCCCTTCTTATCTTCTGTCCTCCTGTCCCCCTCATTCTCAATCCAGCAGGTACCTGACTTGGGGTAGGTGATGATGAAAATGTCGTCATCTCGCACATCCGGGGCATTCTCCGCGAAGCTGACACTCTCAGGTGAGTACAGGCCGACAGGGAAGAGGATGCCTTTGTACATGAAGTATTCACCTGGCAACTTCTGGCTGTAAGAGGGTGAGGGAAATGCCATGAGGGACAGCAAGGAGGTGGACGAGGGGTCCCCACTCAGGCCATGCCACTCAAGCCCTGGCAAAGGGCTTCCTCCCTCTGAGCCTCAGGTCCTCATCTGCAAAGTAGGGATGGCTCGCTAGGCAGTGGTGGTTATTATTACCCCAATTTTATGGATGAAGAAAGTGAGGCACAGAGAGGTTGAGTGACTTTCCCCATGCCATGCAGGGGGTGGGGCATTGGACACTTTGCATCTGCAGAATGGGTCTCTGCACCTTCCCTCCATTTACTCTTCACCCCAGCCCTCAAGGGGGATGCTAAGTCACCACCCATTTTACAAAAAGTCCCTGGTCACACCTGCAAAGCTATGGAGCAGCTGAGCCCACACATGAAACCCAGACTCCCAGACTCTGAGTGACCATGAGCGTGAAGCTCTGAGCCCCTCACCTGAGCTGTCTTTCCAAAGCCCTGCAATGTGTTCACATACCCAGATGAGTAAAAATTTCCAAAGCAATTGGTTAAGTTTGTGGTCTCTTTCCACCCCAACTTCCCCATGGGCTCTTGCCTGTGGCTCGGAAAGGGACAGGGATTTGGGGGACTTGACTAAGGGTAAGCAAAGTTGGGGATACCTTTTGCTGGGCTTTCGTGGGCTACTTCTAAGGCCTGCAGTCACTTCTGTACACAGTTAAGCTACCAGAAACCAACTGTGCAGGAAATGCTTCCAGGAACACTTGTGGGACACAGGGACACCAAGTTGGGGACATGCCCAGCCCAACACCTCATCAAGTACACAGTGGAAAAGGAGACATAGATTTGAGGTGGGTGCAGCCAGAGCGAGTTTGTTATTTTTTCTGGGATGTTTGGAGGTATTTGTCAGCTTTCAAAATGAAACAATTTGCTGTGGTTTCTTTCCTGTTTGAAACAAACATTCCTTGTATCTACTGTTGTAGTCACAGGAAATGAGTCTTTTTGAAAGGAGAACTCCCTCCAAATGTTATAAGCCTTAGCCTCACAAATTGCAGATCACTGGTCTTTTCCACTATGCTGTGCTACTTTCCATTTGTGTCCCTTTATGGCACACTTAGGACGATACACTGAACTTAAAAAAATATTGTGGGTAAGTAGGTTATATTGTCTATGAATTTCATTTCAGAACAGTCGAGAGGATGCTACAAACATTTGTTATATAAAGGAGGTTTGGGTCAGACCATACAGATGAAACTCAGAAACATGATGTTGGTGGGAGATGCAGGACACAGGAGTCTACACAATAGGATTTCAACTATGAGAAATTCAAAACCAGGAAAAAGTCATCTGCAGCGTTAGAGGGCAGGAGGGTGGTTATCCTTGTCAGTGTGGATGGCTGAGAGGGCAGATGGGGGGCTGTTATACAGAGTGCCCACTTTGCAAAATTCACTGAACTATCGACTAAGCTCTGTAAATGGCACTCATGTGAGTTTTACTTAGATAAAGCATTCAGTGGGCCAGGCAAGGTGGCTCATGCCTCTAATCTTGGCACCATGGGAGGCTTGCGTGAGCTCAGGAGTTTAAATCCAGCCTGACCACCAGTCTGACCAGCCTGTTTTTGTTTTTTTGTTTGTTTTTGAAACAAAGTCTTACTTTGTCGCCCTCGGTAGAGTGCTGTGGCATCACAGCTCACAGAAACCTCCAGCTCTTGGGCTTATGTGATTTTCTTGCCTCAGCCTCCCAAGTAGCTGGGACTGCAGGTGCCCGCCACAACACCTGGCTATTTTTTTGTTGCAGTTTGGC